TTTACAACAGCTTTTTCAAACCAGCTTTTCCAGTTCTAGGCTTACAGGTTCCTGAACCCAGAATGGGTTCAGATGAGGAGTAAAAAAACTAAATGTCACAGTTTATAAAATGATTTTATAACCCATTCCAAACTGTGTGCGTGTAAGTTTAGAATATTTGCAAAGCTCTAGCAGATTTGGTTCCAAAGAGTTTATTATTTTGAGATTCTGGGAAGATAATGCTGAAAAATTACTTACGCTTTGAAAAAGCAAAGCTGAGAGCATCCATGCACATTGGGGAACAGTCATGTTTAAACATGCTGTTAAGGGGCAAGTTTCAAGGACTGGTGGTTCTTAAATTAACAGATTGTGCTTGTGCATTCAGCCTGATTAAAGAAAATCCAGAATTTGCTGGGTTCCTACCCTCCCTCTAAGGAAAAAACTGAGATCTTAAGAAATGCTTGTGAGGGTAAAGGAACTATTTCCAGATCATAATAATTAATGTGGTGACCTTGGTGGGACTGCATTGGTTTACATCACCCTGGGATCCAGCTGAAGATGGATATTATAAGCAGTTTAATGAATGGAAATGTATGTCTTTAAATCTTCTTGAGAAATATTTTTTTGTGCTAAATTACTGGGAAAATCAAATGTTTGTTTTAGTTCACTGAATTTTGTAGCTTCTGAAAGGAGGATTTTCTATGCATGTTCCTAACTCTCTTTTTTTTTTTTTTTCCGGTAAATGGGCTGTCAGGGGCTTGAGCATGTTGAAATGGGAAATTCCCTCCATTAGTGAGAGCCAAAAACTGTCGTCTTATTCTGAAGGAGTTAGTTTAAGCAGGGTAATGGGATTTGCAGAACTGAAAGACTGCCGAGCAGCTTCTCCTGACTTGCTTCCTTGGGCACAGGGTGCTCCGTGGAGCCATTCCCAGTGCCTGAGGAGAGCGAGAGCAGTGTTGCCAAGTCCTTCCTGCTAGGTCTGAAGTGGGAGCTCGAGGAACACAACCCTTCTGCCCGAGGCAGGATGCTTGACCAGTCCCCAGGCAAATTTAATCCCCAGCCTGAAATAAAGGTTAATGCAAACTCGTTCGTGTCTGTAAAACCCTGGTGTACTGCAGATGCAAGCTCTTAGTAAATGCAAGCCCTCCTTATTTACCTTCATCTGGCCTCCCAGAGAAGTATAAAGGCAGCGTGCTGGCCCCCATCCTGACTGTCTCCTGTTGCTGAAAGACACCTCTGAAGCAGTGGTGGACGTAAGGCCGGCGCTCGCTCTGCCACTCGCTGCTCCCCCGTGCCGGTGCGTGCAGTGGACGCGTACAGGCGGGCAGCTCAGTGTGCAGAGTCGGTGTGCAGTACCTGCTTTAAAGCCTTCTCCAAGGATTAAATGCCGCTGCCTTTCTGCGTAGCTGCGTGTTTTGCAGATAGCAAAAGGTTGGTGTCCTCTCCAACATCAGAGACTACCTAGCTTTTAGGTGAGACACGGGGTGAGGGCTCTAGCAGTTGTGGCATGAAGAACCTTAGGGTATTTGTGGGGGCCTCCCAAAGGTGGCAGGAGTAGGGTTTTGTTCTCTTGAGCTTGGTAAGGAGCAGAGTGCAGGTTACTTTGGGGCAGTCTAGCAAGTGACTTGTGTTCTCGCTGCTGTAAAGGAGGTGCATCTCCACCATCACCCATGGATGTTAATTCAGCGGAGGTGAAAGCAGGTGGCCATTGGTACTGGGCTTTGTGATGATACTGAACTTTGATAGGAGTATAGACATTGCTCCCGGGAAAATGTGTTTTTATTTGAGAGCTGGTCTGGAAAAGTTTTGATAAGCTGGAAGGGAGAAAATGAATCAGACTTTAGAGCTCAGTTATATCTGTATCTCCAAGTCTTACCTTTAGTCACTAAAATTACTTTTTTTTATTATTATTATTCTTTTCTTTTTTCCTTATTGTGAGTGCACCTGGCCATTCCTCGGGGAGCAGTTCACAGCAGCAGGGCTCAGCACAGGCTGGAGGGAGGGAAGCAGCCTCCTGGGCTTGGCCCGCGCTGCTCCGCATGGAGCAGCACAGCCCGGGGGCCCCGGTGGCTGTGACCGCTCGCCAGCCCCTCGGCGGCTGCCCCTGTGCTGGAAGCTATAGGGGGTTCCTCACCTGACAAGGGAACCTGAGCATGTCGTTTCAGTTTGTGCTGAGAAGTGCCAATACTCCCCAAGTAATATCGCTGACTAGAAGGAGGGTTCTCTTCACAGGTGCATGTTAAGGAGCCTGAATTCGATTCAGTAATTTTACTTATGCTCTTATATCCAATATTGTGAAGGTATGTGTAATGATACGCATTGTAAGGCGCTGCATATATCATTCAGTATGTAGAAAGCTTCAATAAAAATATTTTGCTTTGCAAAAGGATTGCAAGTTATTTCATTGTGGTCTATCCAATAATACTAGTCTGAAAGACTGCAAAACTATTGTGCCTTCAAGAGAATATTCTTCCAATGGAAGTAAGTTTCTTGGGGAAGAACCAGCTTTTTGGATTCTCTCCTTGCTTCTCTGTTGGAGACCACATGCCAGCAGACAGGCGCACGTGGTTTTGCCTCTCTTGCGTGCTGAATTGATTCTATAACTTCTAACTGATTGTTTTAGTTGATGGCATGAGTCAGGGTAAGGCAGAATATCGCTGACCGGCAGTATCATGAGTGCTTCTCGGCAGACGCCTCCATAGGGCCATTTACTGTGCAGGCCCACACTTGTCCGGGGAAAGCGAGCGGCAGTTTCCTAACTGACTTCAGGGGCTCAAGCTTGAGCAGTAAATGCAGTGAGTTTACCAGGAACCTGGGATTTAAAAGAATGGCTTGTGCTTGTAAGGAGATGTGTTGTGCAACTCCTGCAGTCACGCACACCATGCTTTCCCATCTTTCCTCTTCTCCTGAGGAGGCAGCAGACCTTTTCCTGACACAGTCTACGTTAATCCTGCAGAGAAGTTGGCCTGATGGGTCAGTCAAATATAAGACAGGATTGACATAAGTGTCGATTCAATAATTGTGAGTTATGCCCCATTTACCTTATACTAAAATAAGGCTGAAATAATTTGTTTCCTTCAGAAGATTGTTCACTTGCATAAGGAAGTGGTTAATGAGTTATGGTTAGAGAGACTATTCTGGAGTAGTTAATAAACGATGCCTTAGCAGAAAGACTGTCCTCTCCTTGGAGGTTCTGCATGTTCCTAGATTTGAGTGGTTTTCTCCGCTGCATTGCGTGCTTTCTGTAGCAGAGTTGTCACGTACATGTTTCAGTGATACCATCAGATTGAGCTCCTGCTCCGATTGAACTCTGTGTGGCACAATATAAGGCAGGAACACCACTAAAAAGGCTAGGAAGATGACTTCACATATCATACAGTAAGTGAAGATGATCACATCTTCCCAGATAAGTAAAGTGAAAGAAATGCTTACAGTATTTTCTACTATATGGTGAGTCAAAGACAGAGAAAGGATTGTCAGCAGGATCTTGCACCTCTGCTGCCCGTTACCAACTAGCTAGACCCCAGTCATCTTGTAATTTGTTCTTGCTATTGTCAGTATAGATTATCATTTAGGTACTAACACGTTCTTTTAATTGAAAGGGGCCTCATTAATTTGGGTGTCAGTTTTCCCATGCTGGAGAGGGAAGAAAAAATGTTTTAATGTGCGCTCCATATGCTAAAGAATTCCACATGGCCTCTTGGCCGGGGCCTGTCTCTTTTCTTTTGCTGAGTCCTGACAGTGCATTTAGTGAGCGGGCAACTTCAAAGGCAGCAGTGTGGTCTTTATATGTAAAATACATTTCAACTAAGTTTAAACTTGCTTCATTGAGAGAAATGTTAGTGTAGCTCTAGAGCAGGCCTACACGATGTACAGAAATGGAGAACAGCATCTCCAGTCTAAGTTAGTGGAGTGACGGTTGAGGGTAACATAGAATAACTGGTTGTTATCTGCATGCCTTATAGAACACAAACTCAACAGCACGTGCGTGGCATTATTTTTGTTCTTTCTCCTCTTTCCTTACTCTTGGAATCGCAAGGGTTTCTAGGGCAAAGTGTCAAGGGAGTCATTAGCATTTCTGCTATGCTTTGTATTGTGGCAGAGCAGTAAAAACCTTTATGACATGGTTTTGGCTTAATTTTCTCATTGCCGGCTCATTGCCGATTAATGTGTTGCTTAATTTCCTTTTCTCTTTTTGTTTTTAAAGTCTTTGTAACAATGTACAATACCCCAGGAACAGTGACTGATTTTGCAAACCACAACAAGAAAGTATTCTAAGGTGTTTTGTTGTGTGTCGTTTTCTTCCCTCAGAGTAACATTGACACCTTTGTGTATAGTTTATGTTATTCGGTGTGCATTGTGGGAAGATTAACGTGCTTTTTTTTTTTTTTTTGCAGTTTGCAACATTCTTTTGATAAATTATATGTGTTCTCCTTGATATTGAGAATTTAATCTGGCTGCAGCCTCAGACCAATGACAAAACAGGTCCCTTCTTCCCTTTTTTTTAGCTTACTGTATACATCAGGGATTCGAATTAAAATAGCACAGCTGCTAGCCAAGGTGATAGTTTGCTTCAGTCTTTATGAATTACAAACTCACATCTTTTTAAATTTGTTTGCTCCCTGCAACCAATGAATAAACTGTCTTCCCTGCTAGTCAACCTTTCTAAATTTTGCGTCGGGGGAATATTCACCCTGTAGGAAAATGCCCGTTTCCTACAGAGTAGGAAGAGTAAATCCTTAACATTGGAGGCCAGGGAGTCTTTCTAGTGTATGCAGTAGATGCAAAGGAGGTAAAAATGGATGAGAAAACTGGCTTTGCGAGTGCCAAATACTTGGCCCACCTGTGGTTAATTGCTGGTCCCCCAACTTTGTGGCTGAATGGTGTTTGGTGGCTCCTTGGTGAGGCTTGGGGGCAGTTGTGTGATGTGCAAGCATCTTCCACTTTACCTACGGCAAGAAGAAACTCCATAACTCCAATTTTTCCCCAGGACTTGATTTTTTATTTCTTTCTGCTTCTAGGTGTCAGTCAGTCTCTCCGCCACCTCTCTTGTCCCCGCCAAGAAGCCCAGCCTACCCACTCAGCGATAGCGAGGACTCTTGCCGCGCTTCTCGCCTCACGAAAGTCTCCAATTCCAGACTGCGCCTCCAGGACTGGAGCAGCCGAACAGCTGCCTTGCGAAGCACCTCCACGAGCGCCTCGGACACCGACTCGCCAAGCCACCCTCTCAAAGCCGTCAGTGTGGGCGCTTTGGATAAGAGGCTCTCCGTGTTCAAGGCAGAGGACCACAAGGAGAGCCCGAAGGAGGCTCAGGATGGGGACGCGATAGGGAGCCATCTGCTCACCCGGAGCACTCTCTCCTTGGGCACTGCAGCCAACCTGAGGAACCTGTCACTCAGCCGGTCGAGTGTCCGCTCGCAGGCCCTGGACATCAGGCAGAAGATCACGGAATGGGAGTGCCGCCGGGAACCGTCTCCCAGGGCGAGCGCTTGCATGGACAAGAGGGATGCTGGCGAGAGGTCGGGCAGTGAGAGCTGCCCTAGCGTGCTGACTTCTCCATGCAGCGAGAAAACCTTTGATTTCAAAGGGTTCAGAAGGATGAGCCGAACGTTTTCCGAGTGTTCTTACCCAGAAACAGAGGAGGAGGAACTGCTGGACAGAGATTCCTGCCATCGGCTGGAAAAGAGGACAGGCAGGAGCGAGCCTCCTGCTGCTGCTTTCCTCAAGGGCCACATGAGGAAAGAATCTTCGGCCGTGCTCAATCGAATACAGAAGATTGAGGAGGCACTAAAAGAGCAGCCGGGCCGAGGCCTCCCCCAGTTACCCAGTAGCTGTTACAGTGTTGACAAAGGGAGGAAAAAGTCTCTGAGTACTGTGGAGGGACTCAGTGAAAACCTAAGCGATAGCAAAGGAGGGAGTGTTATTTTGGGGAGTGATCCAGAAACACCTACTGAGGCTGAAAAAAACAATAAAACAAAACCAGGGGTTACTGCAAACTTGGCTGGCCCTAAACTGCTCCTTGAAAGCCCAGCTAACACAGTGGTGAATCCCGTCCCCAAGCCCAAACGCACCTTTGAGTACGAAGCTGACAAAAATCCCAAAAGCCAAGCGAGCAATGGCCTACCCCTGTGTGCTGCACCTGCTGCTCCTCCCCCACTCCCGTCCACCCCTGCCCCCCCTGTCACCAGGAGGCAGAAGAAAGAGTCACGCTTCCACAGAAAATCCCAGAATAGGTAACATCCAAGGAAATGGGGTTTGCTTGATTTCACAATTATTACGTGTGGTGTCTTTTTTTTAATAGCAAAAAATAATTTTCTCCCTCTAATGTGATGCTACTGTTCTGAGAAACGCTAGGAGTTGTTTGTGGGATGTGTGTTTTCCCCTGGATGCCCTGGTGTATTGCTTTTACATGGCTACAATTTTGGAGCTCTTCAACCTACGTTCATCCACCCCTGGAAAAGGCTATAGATTGTGTGTGCTGAGGGTTCTCTCTCTCACTTCAGCACAAATGCCCATCTTTGAGATGTTTCGTAGAGTGTAATTTCCTTATTTTCTTATAGCAGGACTGTAGCTAATCTTCCAAAGTCCTACCAAAACACGTCGTCAGAGGATTTGTGTATCCAAAGCTTGCTAACATAGTGGTTGTGTCAGCTTTATGGGACATGGGAGATTTTATTTATTTAAGTGTTTAGAAGTGTTGTTGAAGTGGCATCAGTAGCCATAGAGGATTGCCACTGAAAAAGCCATGCCTCACTGCAGAAGCACCTTAGTGATTCTCCTGAGTTACTGGTGAGTAGAGGATATGGCTACTTCTGCCCAGCACTCTGTGAGGTTCGCGTTGTCTTAACTGCATGATTCTCAGGGATGTTTTGGAAGTGGTAAATTGTTTCTGTTCATTGTTTGGGAAATTTTAGGGATATTTATTGATAAACATTGAAAGAATGGCACTTTTAACATGTTCAGCTCTGTAGGTATGTGCAGAAAACGCATGCACACAATATTTAGCAATAAGCTGTGCAAGCAACTGCTAAACATCTTGAATGCAGGCTGTGCATGCAGGATCTGCTGCTGGATGTTGACTTGAGTCTAAGTTTATGTCAGCACAACCTGACCTGAAATGTGCTGGGACAGAAAAAGAAGAGGAGCCTTCAGATTCTTTCCTTTCAAGAAACACCTGCTTCTGAAATGGATCAGGCGGCTCTAGTGATGTGCGTTGCTTCCCTGAGGAGGAGGGGGAAAAGGAAAAGCCAAGCTCTCGTTAGCAGTGCTCATCTCGCAATTTGGGCAATAATGTCAGTTAGAGGAAACAAACCTAGATCTTGATAAGAATTTATGAAATCTAACCTCATTTTGTTCAGCACAGCATTTGTAATGTGGAGAAGACAAAAGTACTTCTAAGTGTTTGGATAAAAATGACAACCTTTGTTGGATAATTGAAGGGCAAGTGAAAAAATGGTCTTTGTAAAATGGTAAGGGGGTGTGTGCGATGGGCAGAGGAGGTGAGCAAATAAAAAGAGATAAGATTGGCCACACAATCACTTTGTGAGCTACAACTAAGTAACGAAAATCAGTCTCTGAGTACGCAGTCGCATGGAGTTTGAGTCTGCAGCCTAGTCCAAGTCATCTAGGAAGCACAATATTTTGTTAAAATTTTTTGAAACCTCAGTCTCTACTTTTTTTTTTTTGAGATGTAATTCATTCTTGTAACTGCTGTTTTCTTTCTTTTGGTACTTCTTTTATTTAAGGTAAGAAGCACTTCAGCATATACAAGGAGTTTGAGACCATACAAGCCATCTAAGAGCCACAGTGTTTTCTTGCAACTAGTTATTAGTCTCTAAGCTGTTCTCTTTTTAAGAATAGATGTAGTTTTTAGTTGTAGCTGTGTTACTTGTTGTGGCTTTACCCTCACTGGAAAGCACTGAGAATACCTGAAGATATTTATTGTTCTAATAGCTTTTTCTAAAAGACTGCTTTTCTTGTGTTTAATTTAACCTTTTGATGAAATAAAGAAAGTCTTCTGTGTTTGTCTGCTAGCATAGGTAAAGGTTGTAGCCAGGGGTGCTGGTGGTCACAGTAGCTTCCACATTGTGAATCAACATGGTCTGGATATTCCCCAGTGGTTGGAGGTCCAGATGCAGAACCGAAGATGAGAGTTGCAGGGTGACCTTGGGACACATGAAGCACTGCTGAGTGCTATTGCACAAAATCCTTCTGTGGCCCTGTGCAGTGTCCCTGCCATAACAGTGTGGCCTTGAAATTTGTGAGAGTGGATATTAATGTGCTTACCTACATAGTGTCACTTCATACACCGTTATGTATCGTTGCCTTGAAGACTGTTAGAACTGCTGATAGGTGAGGAAGAGCTGACATGTGGGTCTGAAACTCTCAGCTTGTTTCTGTCAATGTCTTGGTGTCTGTACCATGCACCTGATGATGACCCTTAAGGTTTGGAAAGGTGGAAGACTTCTCCTAAGCCAGCTCTGGACCTGTAAGTCTCCTCCAGCAGCCAAGTGACTGGCTGCTCCTGTCAAATACAGTGAACTCGTTTTTGCATTGATGCAGTCTCTAATGTGTACGGGTAATGCATATACTCGTGTATTTCTTCTGCACCTTGGCTGCTGTCAAAGTATGTTTCACCTCAGCTGGTTGACTGCAGGCTGGTTACTGCTAAATCCAGCTGGTGTGGGTATCAGTGAGGGAAGTGAGGGCATCGGCACAGCCTGTACAAGCCTCGCAGCGCTCCTGAGTTTGCACTCTGGGGTGAGCCTATCTTTCACGCCACTTCATCTTCAGCATTGGATTGTGTTAAAGCTCACACAGGGAGACCTGGCAGTGCAAACCAGGTACCTCTCCGCTAGGGTACAGATACCCTCTCTGAGAACAAATGCTGGGCAAACAAGAATGGGAAGAGTGAGACCTCTTTGCCCACAGTTTGCTCAGCAGCCCTGGAGCTGCTGTGAGAGAAGCTCTTTGGAGGCTGTGGAGAATTGTCCCTAGAGTGCCAGGGTGGGAGGAAGGTTGCATCGGTCAGACTGTAAATAGGATGACTGCTGGGCGACTGACCTGTATCAGCCCTGCTACGGCCTCTGGCAACCTGCAGGTTTATCCCATACCCATGTGGGCTGGAGCTGTGACAAACTTCCCAGGCACAACGATGGTCAAAACGCAGGCAGAAGCGACCAATATTCCCTCTCAGTGAAATATTTCCTCGTCAGTGAAGCATCCTGCCAGACAGCCAGAGCCTTTGGGGCCCCAGCCATCGCTCTCCGTAGCTCCTTCACCCCACACAGCCTTAATGTCCTGCTTGCATAATCCCCAATTGCCAGTGCTCGATGTGGTGTGTGCCGGGGGAATAGGTGATTCCTGCATGTGTGAATCTGCTTTGGCATTTGTACAGTGACCTTTATGCAGGGCCATAGATGAAGGTATAAGTAAGACCTGGAAGAGTTTTCAAAACTAAATCCCAAGTCTTCTAGAGCGACTGGTGGAGAAATACTTCCTAGGAAAATGTGTTGTCCTTGAAGAGGGAAGGCCACAGATTTCCAGGGCCTTTTTTTTGTCACTTTATCCACATTGCTCAGCAAAGATGTGCTCAAATAAATATTTGGGTCAGCTTGCATTCTAGTTACTAATTACTTTACTTGTTGTTTTAAACTTTAGAAAATCCTTTGAGTTTGAGGATGCTTCAAGTCTGCAGTCCTTGTACCCTCCCTCCCCAACTGAAAATGGGACTGAGAGCCAGCATAAATTTGGATCCAAGAGCACTTTAGAAGAAAATGCCTATGAAGACATTGTAGGTAAGGACCTGTTGCAGCACATGGACTCCCAGCGGGATGTTGAGTAGTAACGGTCAGAAAATGCTCTGGTGAACATGCCCTGTACGAGAACAATCAACTGCTATCAGTAGAGAGGGTTTTGAATTGAGGTAAATGGCCTTGATGCATCAGAACTAGCATAACTCTGAGCCTGCATGCAGGAGGTCTTGACCGCTTCAAACCTCGTTGAGCAGTATTGGAAACAGACTGTTTGGTCAACTTTTTGTCATGCCTTTCAAGAACTAAATCGTTCTTCTTAACCAAGGTCTTGGCTTGAAGCCATGAGTGGTGTAAAAATGTAAAGAAGTGAAATGGATACAGAGTTCACAGGACTCCATTGGCAAGATTATCCTCACAGGATTGTGTAGTCAGGCTGAGTTTTTCAGCTGTTCTCTGTAGACTGCCCCCAAAGCAGTTGTCTGCAGCACCATTTCTGGTCTCCTCTCAGTCCCAGCTGCTGGTTAAAGAAAAATTAATTTCCTTTAGCTATGGAGCCATCAGGAATGCACAATGAAAACACTGTTTTGATTAAGCCTCACAAGAAAAACATGTTTCTTTTGGTCTTAGAAGGAAATGTATGGCCTATGCATACATTCTTTCAACATAAAAAAGATTTTATAATTACTGAAAATTGGGCAGCCCTTCAGAGCACAGATTTTCCACATAAGTAATGAGTATCTGCATTGTTTTTAACCCTTTCAGTGTTGTATTGTTACAGTGGATACAAAGGGTGCTTTATTTTACCTTGAACAATGAACTTCATCTGTGGAAAACTGGAGGTCTGTCAGGAGGGCCAGATGCCTAGAGAACACTCCTCGTGAAGAGGCTGAGGAAGCTGAGCTTGTTTGATCTGCTAAAAAGGATGCTCAGAGCCAATCTAATAGCTGCTTATAAAGGTTTGAAGGGCAGAAAAGACAACTGACCCAAACTTTTCTTGGTTGTGCTAATTACTGTAGCAAAGGGTATGGCCACAAATTGCAGCTCGGGAGGTTGAGATTGGACATCAGCAAGGACAATTTCACGAGGAGAACACTGGGGCCCTGGAAGAAGTTGACCAGACAGGCTGTGAAATTGTCATGCCTGGGGGTGTTCAGGATGTAGCCAGATCAGCTGTAGCTTTTGGCAGTTGTGAGCAGTTTCTTCAAGTGGGAGGTTGTCCTGACTGACTTCCTGATTCACTTTCCAGTGAGCATTTTGATTAGTGGCTGTGGCAAAGCACACCCCAGTTTCATTCTTCTCACAGCTTCTCATGATACTGTAGTTTTGACAGAAGATGCAGAAAAATGGGACTCGAGCAAGGAAGAAGTCACTGGATTGGCAGCATCCTTTGAAGCTGAGAAGCTGTAGGGACATACACTGATTTTTTATTTTGGAGCATAATCTTGGGGGTTTTGTCCTCTAGGCTCATGGGACAAGCTTTGGCAGAGGAGAGGCAGATGGAATTATCTTTCCTCTAATTCTAAGTAGAAATTTTTCAGGGAGGAGAGAGGCGGAGGCGGGGCAGGTTGGTTGTTTGTTATACTGTGGAAAGAGTCCTTAATGATTCTTATATCATCACCAACCTTCTCCATAAGCAGTCAGACAACCGTGCAATCCACACTGGAAAGTGTCTTGTGCATTACACTGCTCGTCTCTGATCAGGGACTGTCAATGTGCTGCCACGTACTAGGTGGCAATTCTCATTTTCCTTGCTTTGTTTTGTTTTTATACTAATCAAAACAAAATGCTCAGTTTTGGTATGAATCTTTCTTTAAATGAAAAGAAATGTTGGGTTCAATAAAACAAAATCATAATGGGCTCTCCCACCTCATGGGAACTGTAAGTCTGCTCCCCGCATATTATAATTTGTGCATTTTGGCAGGGCAGTGGAAAGATCTGTGGACGAGCACAGAAATTCATTGTTTTGTGCTGCTTTTTGGCAGTCTCTTTCCAAAGTGCTTTATTCAATATATGCAGAGATGGGGGGAATTCCAGTCATTATAATTATAATAATCTGTCAAGGGTGATTAAAGACAAGCCAAAATAATTCCACCAGCAAATTTAAAGAAGTTGTCATAGTTTTGTATGGTGCATATGCATAATTTATACTAGTAGAATTAGACCCCATTCTCTAGGTTGCACTTCTGTACTTAGGCAAGCCAGGTGCCTGTGAAGTTTTTTTTGATAGATTTACATGCTGTTTCAAACTTAGAAAAGACTTTGTCACTGACACTTTGGGTGTTTTCTATGCAAATAATTGCTCTAAAGGTGTCGAGCAGTTTTGGTCTATAAGCAACTGAATTTTCTGCTCACCTGAATGCTTGTACATAGCTCAAACATTGCCACTGTCATAATAGATTTAATAAAGCTTTCTCTTCCTGCAATTAATATTTCTAATACAGTTGGTGGATAAAAGTCTGAAGTCCCCTAAAAAAAAAGTCTGTGAATCTTGAGTAATGCGGTGAGCACTTTAGTGAGACATAAAATTCCAGCCAGTTAGGGTTGGAAAGGACCCTGGAGTCAGCTGGTGTAAGCTCTACTCAAGGGAGGGTAAGTTTCTCAGGGCTGCATCTGGCTCAGTACTGACAATACCCCAGGAGGGTTCCTGTGCTGCTGCTTAACCACCACTGTGAGGAATTTGTTCTTTATATTTCTATGAAGGTCTCTATTTCCTGTCAGAATTTCTCAGGTTGCTATTTGTAGCCATTATCTCTCATCTTTTCTGGCTCTGTCTTTTCCATGAGTCTTGTAGATAGCAGAAGACAGCAATTAGTTTCCCCCTCTAGGCTAAGCAGTCCCAGTCCCCTTCCCTCCTTTATGTCAGGTGTACATAAGGGCTAGGACTGGAGTCGTCGTTTTTGCAGTTCCTACATGACTTCCCTCTGTTGCCCATGTACTGCTTGTGCCCTTAGTGTTCACTTTTTAATGACCAGAACGGTGAGGAGCTACTGTGAGTGGTTTGTGTTGTTTTGAGTGATGATTTTAAAAAGGGAGTCTTCAGGTATATTAAAAGCAAAAAGGTTTGTGCCTTGAAATCTAGTGAAGTTGTGAAACAGAGACTTTCTTTGTAATACACTCATACATGTTAACAGATGAAAAATCTATATGTGAAGTTCAAGACAGATATTGGGTTGGAAAATAATGATCCATTCCATATTAGTCAAGACTCAAGAGTATAAAGAGGTGCACATTCCTAATACTAATCAGAGCAGTATTCCATGTGCAAGGAACCATGTGGACTTCATTCATCTTCTGTACTAGCACTCACAGGAATGTGGCAGTAAATGTAACATTGTTTTGCTTCTTGTGGTTTTGAATGACTCTTTAATCAGACCAAAATTGATGTGGCTTTCTGGATCCAGTTGGGGAAACCATGCTTGGCTTTGTGTGAATTCAAGAAACTTATCATACTATTAAGAGATGTCTGAGGCAGTTGCTTCTGCTGTGCTTGTGGACAGTGGTATTTCCTGTCATATGTGCCATATGGTTTCAGTTTCCCAATCTGTTCCCCTAAATTTCAGATGAAATATTTAAATATTGTTATTTAATCTCTGGTGTTTCTGCGACATTTTCACCTGACATCTATAAGAAAGCACTTGACCACTAAAAAAAAATCACTAAAAAAATGAGAAAAAGGGAATGCAAGATTATAGACACAGTGGTAATTTCAACTTGGGAAAAATTGGTAAAACCATTTTTAATAAAACAGGCAAACAGGTAAATTATCGTTGTGTTTGTACAAGAAATTGCATCCACAATTCTGGCATTAAATACAGATAAAGAGATCTGCTGAGGAAAGTCTTCTTACTGTGTGACTCCTCAGGGTCCTGAGTGCAGTGAAACAGGTGGAAATTTCCTTGAAGAGGAGACCAGCTAGATCTGCTGGAGAGCCCTTGCGCAGCTGGGCTGCGTGTGTCGCGTCTCAGTGAGAATGTTGAACTCGATGTTACACAGGCCACCTGCCTTGTCCGAGGAAGAGCCTCTTGCTCTGACAGATGCACAGCTCTTGCTTCAAAGCACTTTTTTTTTTTTTCCCAAGAGAAAGGAAAGCAATCGAAATGTTTTTCCTCCTTGAAGATCTATGAATAACGATCCTGTAATTAAAATTTCTGGGGTTTCTTCCTTCTTTGCTATTCGTAAGGTCATGTGAAGACTATTCAGTATATAGCCCTGGTGTATGTTTACCAGATTATTCATCTTTTAGCAGGTGTAGTCCTTTATTAGTGGAATAAAAAGGCGGTTAGCATAAAAATGCATTTATTTCAGCCATATGTATTAGTGCAGAGAGATCTTGCCCTGGTAAGGTTCCTGCTTGGTCTCACTGGCTCACGTGAAAGGATGGTATCTGCTTACTAAGTATCAATGGTCCAAAGTGGTCTTTAGTGTAAAATTAGTGTAAAGTAGTATAATTAGTGTAAAAGACAACACTAATGAATTAAGCTTCAAATTAACCAAATTCTAGTGAAGAAGAAGGTGTCTGCTATTGTCCAGCAGAAATATTGTTTTTTTTTTTTTTCACTGGGACCAGAGCCCCTGGGAATAGAAAGCTGGGGACACTGGCATATACTAGGCCTGACATAAGGCAGAAGTTAGGTGGTCTGCATGAGGGTAACGGGCATCAGGGTCAACACTTGGCTTAGAGCAGCTTGGTGGCAGGTTGCAGTGCTGTGCTCTAGTTCACTTGGCCATCTCTCCTTCCTTTTAATCTTGTAGTTGTAGAATCTTGTTTAATCTCGTAAATATAATCAGCAATAAGGGACTGTGTTGTTCATAAAGAGCGTTTTCAAGTGAGATTTTGGAAGATACTGTGGGATATAGGGTCCAACAAATACCACTGTCTGAAGAACTGCTCCTCCCAAGCAGGCTCCAGCAGCTAGAAAGGGAACCTGGAGAGCTGCCTGGGTGGATGGATTAGCCATTAAAGAAGAACAGATAACCTGGGCAAGAGAAACAATAGACGAATGTGTGAGGTTTGAGCAGTTGGCATAAATTCCTGTGAATAA